ACTGCCAGGCAAACCAAGAAAAGAAAAACAGTGAAACGAAAATGACCAATCCAGAGGTGACAAGAGTGAACACATGTATGGAAACATAAAGAGCAAAGAGAGTTTAAGGCAGTTTAAATCTGCTAGACAGGTAATGTTTTCAGGGGCTAGGGTAATGCTAGGTAGCTAGTTTTTCCTGATATTTAATGTTAGCTAGCTAATTAGCTGTGTTGATGTTAGCTGTGTTGATGTTGACGTAACCTCCAACTAAAATTGGCATCCCCACTTTTACGGCCCTGTTGTACCCTAGAATCACAACTTTATAGTGTTTTAAAATGAAGGGATACGTTGTATTTAGCAATGTCAGACTGCTTGTCTTGTTATTCTTTAATTTATCTTGGAGATGGTCTAATGTCGCCATTCTCTGTCCTCAGCCCTCTGCTGAGCTGGTGAAAGAGGTGACAGATTTTAGTGTGCAGGCACTGGCCAAGATCGAGGAAGCCCGCACTGTAGGAAATTTCCATGAGGTAGGTCAATTGAAAAGACAAATATAGACATATAAAGACATATAGCATTTATTTGGGTTAAATATTTCTTTAAAAGGAGGGATGCTCTGTTATGGGAATTATGGGCTGATGCCAATATTTTTTATTTTCTGCCAAAGCCAATATACATGTAAATTGTAGTATAACGTATAAATACGTCATGAAATATCAGTTTGATTTGTTAGTCAAATCTAAATATTTAAATGTCTGATACTGTTCAGGGTATCTGCCAGTACTAGTATTCAACGGCATCATGCATCTCTGTTTAAGGCTAAGTATGGAAAAAAATGATGAAATTTAGATGTTGAGTAATCTTTCATGTACACTCTAATAAATAACTTAGTATGCAATAGTTTTTCTCTTTGACTTCTTTAAATGTTGAAGTCTTGTGGTTAAATTTGCAGTCAGCTCTTTACAGCAAGAAGTGTTCCACTCAGCATTGATGGCTTCAAACAGTTGAAAAACATTGGCAAACTAGTTTGTGTTTAATGTGAGATCAAATATTCTGTATAGGGTTTAAATGTGGACTCCAACCAGACCAAAACCATTCATAAAAAACATTAATTTTTGGGTTTGGTCCATTTTTTTCATGACAAACACATATTCCTTGAAGTTCTAATGTAGACATTTTTATGCTTTTTTTTGTTATAAATTACCCGGTTAAGGTGATTAAAATCTGCCATGAGTGCTTGGAGAAGCAGGAACCGGTCCTGGCAGACACTCATCTCTACCTGCTGCGTGTGCTCAGTATTGCCAGTGAGGTGCTCTCCTATCTGCAGATGTTTCAGGAGGCTGCAGAATATGCACGCAGAATGGTGGAAGGCTACACGTAAGCATGCATGTTTGAGCCGGACACTTCAAACGATTCCTTGCTGATCCGTCTGATATTCCATATTTCATCTTTGAAACTGCTAAAATATGTCCAAAACTATACATACACCTCTTCTAATAAATGAATTTGGCTGACACACAATGATGAACCGTGACTATTAGAGCTAGGCTGTCAGTTCAGGACATATATGTCAATAACAGGTCAAAACTAAGAAAAAAAGAACGATAATGCAAATTTCTGCTAGAGCTGCTATGGTTTTTTAGTAGTATGTTAGCACTAAGCTAGTGACAAGTCACACAAACATTCCATGTTTTATTTTAAGCTTTTAATAGATATACATATTTGATCTTGTAGCAGTTTTACAGTGACCCTTTCAGTAAAGAATCCTAACATTGAGCTGCTGTTGCTGTTTTCCATTTCTAACATTTGACTGAATTGCATCGGTTAGGCTAGCACTCGTTCTTGCACTCAGTGATGTATCTCCTAGAAGGCCTAAAGTGATGTTTTTTCTCACAAAATTGGTTAAACTCATTGGAAATCAAAAGGGGACTGATTCCACTGTCACTTCCTAAATATATTGGGGTTAAATTGACAAATTAGGTCTTCTGTTCAGCTCCTGAATTCCTAACCAGTGGGGGAGCTATCATGACCGTGTCCACCTAGAACCCACAAAAAAATTCCAATTAGATCATTTTCCATTGGGCATGTAAAAAGTTTAACCCTTTGGTTTCCAAACAAAACTTAACAATGAAATAAGACTTTCACCCCACCGCTGACATTGTGATGAGTTGAAGTAGAGCTTTAATCAAAACCTGAATGTAGCCCAAGAACATTCTGCACAAACCTGAGCACCAGCGTTTAAAACTGAACAACATTCTGCCCAAAACTGACCTGAACGTGATCACAACCGACAAGCGACCAAGTAACAACTCTACTTTCCCCATGATAATGCATGCTAAATTATTTTAACGACAATGACAGCTGTCATCAGATTATCAGTGAAAATTATCAGTGTGACAAAGTTGAAATACCACTTTTTTCCACAAATATATTAATCAGTCAATGCATTCAAACAACATTCCAAAAGATTTTAGAGTGGATAAACTTTACATAGGCTATTGATTTGGTTGACCTCATGGCCAACAAGAAGTGTGACTCCAGAATGCCAAATCTAAAGCAGGGGTAAACACAGGCCAAAATCTGCTAAAGATGTAAGAAACCCCTGACTCAAGCCTGACAAAATTTGTGGAATGATGTCCATAGTATGTGTATAGTCAGGCCTCATTGGGTTAGGACGAATATTAACTTTGAACCTGACTCAAGCCTGACAAAATTTGTGGAATGATGTCCATAGTATATGTATAGTCAGGCCTCATTGGGTTAGGACGAATATTTCAAGCTCTTAAGCTGAGGCACTCTGGGCAATACCTAACCATCCAACATTAGTAGCTGACCTCACTAATGCTCTTTTGGCTGAATGCAATCAAATCCTTACAGTATTGTTGCAACATCTAGTGTAAAGCCTTTCGAGAAGAATAGAGGCTGTTCCTGCAGCAAAGAAGGATCAAACTCCCTATTGATTGCCTTCGTTTCAGAAGATATGTTGCATGAGCAGGTGTCTTAATACCTTAGTTTTGGTATCTAGAAACTTGAGGAAACTTGAGTGCATCAGTGTTTGAAGTGACCTGGAATTAAACTGATTGTTTTCCTGTCCTCCATCAGGAAACTTTATCACCCGAACAATGCTCATCTGGGCATGGCCACCATGAAGGCAGGTGTGATACATTGGCACGCTGGGCTGATTGAGGTGGGCCATGGAATGATCTGCAAAGCTTATGCAATCCTCATGATTACCCATGGCCCCCACCACCCAATCACAAAGGATCTAGAGGTAATGCATCAGCTGAATACTCATTTTTGACTAATAATATTTTAAACTTTTTGCTATAAAAATATGTTTTTCATTGATGAAGAAATGAATTGCTAAACAGATCTGATTCTGATTTAAAGGCATACAGAACATAGCTTTTCCAGCACAAAAAGCCCCACATTTCAAGCTTATCTATATTTTTTAATTAACTAAAACAACCATTTGAGAGACACAATTTTAGTATATTGTATGAACAGTCGTAGGCACGTTTGGGCACCCCTGGTCAAATTACATGTTGATTTTCTTTTTTTCGCTCCAATTTCCATCCCGGTTTACTCATATCCAGTTCCACCCACTAGTTAGTCACATGATCACATGAATCACACGATGCCACCAGCGTTAAGAGGGTGAAGGTAAACACAAGCTTCTTATGAATGATGTGAACCCAGCCACCACATCTTTTTGAACTGCCATTAACGCAACATCTTTGGACAGCTGAACACGCTTGGAGGAGAACACTAACCACCAGTTCTATTGCGCCAGCTAAAAGATGCCTGTGCTGGCTAGTATCGCACTGAGTTATGGGGAGAAGGAGGGCCAACCACCCCATCCAGAGAGAGCGAGGCCAATTGTGCTCTCTTGGACTTTTGGCCACAGATGGCTATAGCATTAGCAGGGATCACACTTGTGATCTCCCAATGATAGGGCTATCATGTCCTGATGTTGTATTTTCTTTTATTCAAATATGTTAAACTAAAAAAACAGAAATTGTGCACAATTGTATACTAAAATTTGTCCAAAATGGTAACTTTACAGGAGAAGGAAAAAAAACATTCTAAGTTTGAAGGGAAGTTAATGGAGCCTGATTGTTTTTTCAACGTTATTTTGGAACATTTCCTTTGCTCCTTTTTGGATTTTTTACACATTATAAAGAGCAACTGGCATTTCCAAACCCTAAAAAAAAACAAAAAAAAACAAATGGAGATACACGGTTTGTTTTCTGTAGACGACATGTTAATTTATTTTCACTTAGAAAATCAACAAAAATTTGTTTTTGACCAGGGGTGTTCAAGCTTTTGCATATGACTGTATGTATTCCATGGGTGAAATCAGACTAATGGAGTCTGCCCAGAAAAGAATGGTTGTATTTATTTTATTGCACTTATCAAAACTTACAGTACAGATCAATCATCAACTGAATAAAATGTGTCTTTGTTTCCCCAGTCAATGCGCATGCAGACAGAGATGGAGCTGCGTCTGTTCAAGGAGAACGAGCATGTGTACCACAGCATGCGCGAGGCAGTCCTCAGCAGCAAGCCCGTAGGAGGAGGAAAAGTCCAGTAAAGACATGTTCAAGAGCAAATAGACCTTTGAATGCTTGCACACTGTTCCTAATGCACAGTTGCTAACCAAGCTGGGTAACATATATCACAGTTTTTTATTCAGTGTTCCTTATTCTAGCATATTTTGCAATTCTGCACATTTGAGTGCATGAGGCGAAATGGATATTTCCAACCCAATGCTGAACTAACCTTTAAAGTGGTTAATTAATGAAGGCTACTACATTTGGTAATATTGTGACTGAAGACAAATAATGTCAAATGGCTGTAAATGGGCCTAAATGGATTATGATTTGGATTATTTTGTGTAAATAAACCTTGGACTACACTGAAATCATCAAGTAATAGTTTTTATTAAAGGTGCTTCCAGTTCATTATACTCACGGTTTTACAAGTGACCTAATGTAATTGCAAGAGGCAAGAAAAATGGATGATTTTCACAGTGCGCAGTTTATTTTCAAATTATCAAGTGGCACATCAGGAAATACGCTTGCTGATCCGCTTATACACAATGCCATCCAGTGTCATAGTCTAGAAATGCAAAGGAAGCAAAACAAAAGATAACATTCAGTGTTCATTGTTCACATGGAGGTGCTATATATGGAATAAACTGTGAATATTTGATTTTACAGCAGAGTACTGCCCTTTCAATACATGTAATAGCAACATATAAAAAGCCATCTATCATTATGCAGTAATTCTTACTTACATTAACAATGGTGTCCCCATTTATCTCAGTAACAGAGTCAATGCCCTTCACTGTAGTGGTCAGTTTGTTCCCATCCATGTGCACTACAGCCTGTAAAACACAGAGAAATGGAGAACATATAGGAGCCCAAAAAGTATTTGGACATTGGTAAACTTTCTTTAGGTTACTTCATAAAATGTTTAAAAGGGTCCACATCCTATTTTTTTTCTTATATTTTACAACATTTGAGTGGGTTTGTGCACCAATGATTACATGGGCATTTTCCAACCTTTCCTTATTCCTTAGAATTAAACAAGCTGTCTTAGTTACTGTGCCTTTAAGACTTATGTATGTAAATCAGCTCTGTTGTGATTGGCTGCCTGTATTGCGCTTCATTCAGAAAGCAGTGCTGAAACAATCCTTATAACTTCAGCATGAATGGGTGAGATGAAACTGCTGTTTGCTGAATATGCAGATAGATGTAAATGTGTTGGTTTCTGTGACATCACAAAAACAAATAACTAATAACGCTTAGTTTCCATATACGGACTCTCAAGTGAACAGTGCATTTTGAAACTTTAACAATGTTTACATACTACATCACAAATTCAGTTTTTCATGAAATGGACTCTTTAACAAAATGATATCTGTTTCAGGGAAAAACACTTCTAGCACAACATCAAACTGATGGTAGACCCTTTGCGCAGACTATACTACTGTAAAGCACAGAGGTGGAAATGCCAAAGTCTGGGGCTTGGGCTGGTGTCGGCGAACTTGTGTTCATTGATGGGATCATGAACTTAGAATTAACTATAAACCTGCAGAAGTCTGTAAAAAACTGCTTAAACAATAACAATCTGAAACACCAGTCTTCTTATGAAAGGTCTTAGAATAGATTAATTTAAATGAATGCTACTTGGTTTAAAATGTTTCCTAACACAATTAACTGAATGCATTTCTAAGTATGGCACAAATGTCCAAACAGTTTTTGTGGCCACTGTATTGTAAATTCATTTACAAGAACACATTTTAGGTTTCGGATAACCTCAATCAGGATAATATAAAGCAATGCATATGACGCCAAGGTGCTGCACACTTTTACATCACATTATACAGATGTCCACAATATATATGTACATACATAGCATATTATAAATGAGTATGCATGTCCATGTTATTTCTATTTCCACACTACAGAAATGATCTCACCATGGTCTTTTCTCCAGTGAGAGTCTCCAGCTCGCACTCCTGCCCCACAGTGAAGCAGTTCACTATGACTTTACTGCCAGTAGTCACAGTGACCTTAAAGTCATCCCCATTCTGCTCAATTTCTGAGATGCTCTTGAGGTCCTTCCCCTTCTGAATGAGCTCATCGGACAGACCTGCAGGAAAGCAGTGGTTTCAGAAACAGTGTCATTTAAGCAATATTAAAAGGATAAAGGGATAAAATATGTGCTCTGATGATCAGGTTGGATGTTTTCATATCAAGCAATACAGAACGACATATTTACTTTAGAGTACTTGTTAAATATTTTTTAAACGTTTTGTTTAAAGACAGTAGACACATAATCGAATCAAGAGACTTGAATTTTATTTAATACATTCAATAAAAATGCTCAAAATAGCTCTGTGGTTGCTCACCAGCAGCCTTCATAAAAGGCTCAAAGTTGTCATGAGACTCGAGCTGATACTTCCCAGAAAATGCCATTGTGTGCTTTGGAGAAAAGACAAAGAACAAATTCAAATCAAGTTACATTTTTACAATAATCACAATCAACAGAGTAAACCACAAAGCTAAATGTCAGTAACTGAACAGTTCCAGAATTACAATACTGCTATCACAGAGCTAATTTGTGATTTTTCATGTTTCCCAGTCCTGAAATATGTATTCAGCATGCAATAACTGGAAGCAGAAAAAATGATACCTGGTCACTTTAAGTAAAGTATGTAGCACAAGTCTGACAAACAGACTGGCCAACTGGAACAAGCACTGACGACACCCACCAGAAACTTACCTGTCATTCACCTCAGCAGGTTCAACCTCAACCATTCAAGATTTCCAGCTGAACTGAGCGAGCCTGCAAGAAATAAAGTGAGTCAGGTTGTTCTTAATCACTTTCATTTGCATCATAGCTTTAAACCTCTCAGTAAACAATGAGGTTATAGAAAAGGCAGCTTATTCCACTGATAAATGTCGCCATTGTTTTCTGTGGAATGAGGTGTTTCAAAGGTTAGTCTTACAAAGGCTGGCAGGTGGAAGGCCGTTCTTTTTGTCACTGAAGAAACGAAATCATGGTGGCGGTTTAGGGCCGGATTACTGAAATCAGAATGGTTCAAATGAGGCTAAATAGTTGGCAAGACCAAGTTTATATTATACAAAACAAATTTACAGTTTCTTATAACGTAGTAGATCATATCTTGAACGGAACGAAATAGCCTGCAGTCCATTTTGACTGTTTACAGTATTTACCAACTAATTTAACACTGCAGAGAAAAAAAATGTGAACGAGTGAGGGGAAATAAAATCTTTTAATCTCCAAGTATTCTAAATTTTAGATTTTAGATGCTATTTTTGTCTTAACCACAAAGGGGCGATAGAGATGCGTTACTTTGCACTTTGAGGCGGTGCTACACTGAAATGTGCTCGTCTGTGCGCAGACTATTTTCTCCTTCCTACTGTGGTGTCGTTCTGAGGTATTTCTGTATTACCTATTAGTAAAATAATGCGGAGGTCATAAACAAATGTAAAATATCATAGTCAATGTAGTTGGTATGTTTGTTGTTACTTTTTTTGACATATGTCAGTGATTAACAACGTGTTGAATCAGTTCTGTATGTAGAACAGTGCAAAATTCAAAGCACAGTTATCCGCTATGGAAGTGGTCATTACACTGTGTTGTTATTGTCCTCTTCATCATATTGTCCTCTTCATAATAACCGTACAAGCATTACATTTGTAAATGTATGTACAGTTTGTAAGGACAAGCTAGAGAAAAGTTTTGGAATGGTGGATTTGTACATGAATAACTCCTTCAGTAGATAGTCCTGTATAAAATGTGAACATAGGTCACCTAGGAGTCTATTGGTAAAATGTATATGATAGTAAAAATGCTAATACTTGTTAGGGTTTTTATTGTTATTGTTATTTTCATTTAAGTATTTTTCTTCTGTATCATAAATGTGTCTACTGTTTTCTTGCACTTTGTATTCTCTTAATAGTTATATTACTACTACTACTACTACTACTACTACTACTAATAATAATAATAATAATAATAATTATGAGCCATTCATTCCGAAATCCAGCTCATTTCAAAGGGGGCAAACTTCTCTTCTCTCAATTGTTATCTCCTGTGACAGCGTATTAATCGTGAATGAATAATACATTCAGACAATTGCTATCTTCACTGTAGGACTACACATAGCTCTACAGGAATTTTATACAGAGGTGAAAATATGGTAAATTTTTGTAGTACTAAACAAGGTAGATAAGGTACTGTGCTAAAGTCGGAGAACAGCCTTCATTTATTTAACTTTCAGTCAAAACAGCTGTTACAAGTTATTCATTTTCAGGAGTTGTTTCTAAAGGAGATTGGCTATAAAATAATAAATAATCGACTTGCATAAGGAAGGAGAAAGAAAACGAGACTCTTAACAACCCTGCAAGACCTGGTAGACCACCAAAGCTGTCACCATCAGATAAACAAAGCTTTCATCTCTGAGAGAGAAGAGAAAATCAAGCTCCACTGTTGCTTCAGATCTGAAAAAATCCACAAGTGTTTTTGTCTATCCTTCCACTGTGAGAAGACAACTCAACACTGAGTCCTAAAGAATGTGTTGCTGCCAAGAAGCCAAGAAAATAGACAAAAAAGAACCTTTTCAACTCAAACAAAGCTGCTGGTGTTCTCAGAACAATGGACTGACCACCCCACAGTCCATACCTTAACATCACTAAATGTGTTTGGGATTATTTGGATCATGAGGAGCAGACAATGCAGCCAGCTTCTAAGACTGAACTTTGAAGGTGTGGAAAAAAATCCCTGCTGATTTCTTTGAAAAACTGAAAGCAAGTCTCCCAAAAAGAATGGAAACTATAAAAAAGGGCACAGTAACTAGTGAAAATGTGGAATTACATGGAGTTGTTGAGGCCTCAGAGAAATTTCCTGTTAAATATATGTTTAGAGGTTTTTTGACACTGCAAAAAGAATGACTTGTACATAATGGCCAATTTGACTGGAAAGGGTGGTCTGCAACTTATGCACAGTACTGTTTCTCAGCATCACACTATATTTTGTTAATAAAATACTTCATTTTAAAAGGACATTAAGAATGTCATAAATTATACATAGTACAGAAAAGGTTTGTTCTTTCATTGGGTGAGGGGTGAGGTTCAAACATCCTAACAGGCTAACTTTGGCCTGCAGGTAACACTTTGAAGTACTATTCACCTCTACAGAAGTCTTACAGTTTCATATTGTATTACCACACATTTTTCTTCATCAGAGAGGAGAGATGCGGTACTGCAGCACACGGGGAGGGGTTCAGGGCTGGACCTTTCGGGATGTGCTGTTTTCAGGCTATGCTCCAGATGGGGGCATGTTCATGCCTGAGATGATTCCCTCTCTGGTCCCTGCCACCCTCCGAACTTGGAGCTCTCTGTCCTACCAGCAGCTGGTTTGTGAAGTCTGTTCTCTCTTCATCCCTGAGCAGCTCATCCCCAAACATGACTTGGAAGGTAACAGAGATGCTCCTTCTTTATCCTTTTCTGCTACTAATGCTAAACCCTAAGTGTGTCTTGAAGCTTGCATGAAAGGACACGAGGAATTAGATTTTGAGACAAAGTGGCCAATGATATCCAGTGAACTTATGTTAAAAGGCAGTCATAGTCAATTTTTTAAATACCAGACACAAATTATGCCAATATAAGAATAATTTAAAGGACATATTTTGCCACTGGGATGCAACAATTAGCGACCTCAGCTTTCCCCCAATATTGGAAAAATTCTTTTTTTTCCGAAACAATTTTTCTTAGCCTTTTTTGTTTAACTGTGTGAATGTTTTTTGCTCTTAAATATGCACAGAAGCATTGAAATGCACTTTTACTGGGTCACATCTTTTACTATTTTTGTGTGTGTGTGTGTATATATATATATATATATATATATATATATATATATATATATATACACATCTGCATTTCTCTTGTCTTATCTGATTGCATTGTTACACTTTAGATTTTTCTGACATATTGTTTAAACTAAAAGACAACTCACAATAAAACAAAATTTTCAAAAAAAAACTTCAGCGAAATGTCAGATTTACACAATTTCCTCCTTTTCTCAAATGTAGTTGATCAGCCAAGTCAAAAGAACACTAAAACACTAGCTAAAACATTATGTAGCAGCAATCTTAATGCCTTGAATTGTGTCCGTACTTTTGTCTGTTTTCCACATGTAGGTTAAGCACACAGTTTGCACAATAGCGGGTAGAAGCTTCCATTACTTCTTGCTCCACTCTAAAAAATAAAGAAATAAACATCATACACCAAACATGTCTTGGCTGATTAAGGTAAGGGGAAGCCTGTGTAAAATGTGTTGTGCTCAGTCAAAGTGGCATCTTCAAAACCAGATTTCAGATGTGACACGGTCGCTGGCACCTAACATCTCTCCTTCTGTCCTCATTCCAGCCCTCATATCAAGTGCTCTGTCCAAGTTTGCTGTGCCAGATGCAGTGAGGATGGTCAGACTGAAGGGCTCTCTGTCCATTCTGGAACTGTTCCACGGAGAGACACTAGCTTTTAAAGATCTGGCCATGATGTGCACCACACGCTTCCTGGAGTACTTCCTGCGCAAGGAGAACAGTCGTGCCACCATCCTAGTGGGTAAGCAAGCCCCACAGTAACTCGCATACTCAGTTTACAGTCAAATCTGTGTAGCCCTATTGGTTTGAGTAATACTACAACTAGATGATCTAAGCTCTGAGCTCATGGACTACACAAATTGGTCCTGTCCAGTGCTCAGTCAGTAGCTATATATACATTATTTTTTAAATAAAATGTTTATGTACTATGTAAACATAGCACATTTCACAACATACTATTTGCTGTACCATATATGAACATTTCAGTGTACAGTTTATAGTTATTTACTAGCTTTAACATATTGTAAAAAAATATATTTATATAGTTTTTTTTCCAACATGTTAAATTCAGCAAATAAACAATAATTGTGCATTAAATTATGCAGACTGATTTTCTCTGTAGTGGCTGTGTACTTTTTGTGACTTAAAAAAGCAACAAAATATGTAATTTGACTGAGGCACCCAAACTTTTGCATACAATTGTATATCCCAGTTCGTACAGTCCATGCATGGGAAGCTGCAAAAATGGCGTGTTTTGAATTCATCATAGTTATAATGTTGCAACCATAAACATATTTACACAGGATCTCCCGTTCAACCTACAACAGGTAAAACTGTACAATCTTTTTGAAGTTATAAGGATGGTTATTGTCATGCATCCCTTCCGCCCTGCTTCTCTCATGGACTCAATTTCCCGGAACTCCCTCGGTGATCATGTGACTCTCGCCCCACAGTCATCGTCCTATCACAGATCTGCCTCACCTGAGTACTGATGTTTTGCACTTGTGTTTCTTATTATTTAAGCTTGTTTGGTTCCAGAGTTTCTTTGTGAGATATTGTTTCTATTCCAA